CCGGCGGGGGGCAGCGGGCGGGGAAGAGGAACCCCCCCTCCCCACCCGTGGGTCTGCACAAGCAACCTCCCAGCGGTGCCCGGCGCCCCCGGGCAGGGCCGCTCTCACCCAGCGAACGCGCAGTGCCCAGTTCCCTGGGGGGGGGAAGGCAGGGGCAGGAACCAGAAGTGATGAATAGGGCTGAGCAAGAAAAAAAACCAATTCCAGCTCATGGTAAATTCAGATTTTGAAATAGGGCCTTTTCTTACGAGCAAAACAGTCCAGCCCAGGAACTGCCTGGGGTGACGCCGAGTCACGGGCTGGCGGGCAGGGCTCCCCAGGGACGCGCACAGCCCGCACGCACCGTCCAGCCAGCGGAGTTTTGGGAAATGCCCGGTGGAATGATGGCTCCTGAAAGTTCCCATGTCCGTGGCTTAAGTGTCTGTAGGGGTGGAAGGAGAGGATTAATTCATTCGGGACCTGCCTCCTGTCCCAGATGCGGAGCTTAGCTTTGCCTCACAGAAGATTCCGATTCAGACAGAGCAGGGGTTACAACCGCCTGCCTTGCGCCCGCGGTCAGAGCCCGTGCCCACAGCATCCTCCTCCCACTTGCTGCCACCTTCAGTGGTTTTTTGCACCCCAGGTGGGCAGGGGAACACCGAGCCCTCTGCCATTCCGTTCAAACTGCAACAAGTACAAACACGGCAGGAAAATATTTAATTAAAAATATCCAAATCTTACCACTATACTGACACTTCAAGTACCTCTCTCGTACAGCAACAAGCTTCCTGACTCTACTGATTTATTAAAAAAAAAAAAAAGAAAAAAGCTAGAGTTTAAAATAATGCCTGACCATTGGGTCTCATAAACCACCACCACCACAAACCCAGGCTCAGTCCTCACCTTCCACAGGGCCAGCAGGCACCGCGCCGGAGTGCCAAGCAATAAATAGCCCCGACGGGCTGATCCTGCAACTACGGAAAGATGGATGAAATGTAAGCACCTGACTGGACGGGCAGGGGGCTGCCATCAGCTCGCGACAGAGTTTTAACCGCAGCAGGAGGAGGGTGCAGCCAGGCAGTAAGGACAGACGAGGCAGGGATTGCAGCTCCCACCCAGAAACTGGCTTCACCTTCTCCAACTCCAAAGGCTTCAGGCGGGGCTGTAGGCAACGCAGCTTGTGTGGTCCGAGCGCCCGCCTCTGTGAAAAGGGCTTTGCCACCTGAAAATCAAGGCTGGTAGAACCAAACACGCCAACTACCTTCCTTGGATACTGCAGTAGCTGGAATTATAAAGTACTGAAAACAGGCCACTAACAATTTCAAATCAATTTTATTTTCTTAAATTGATGTTGTACAGTTTAAAGCCAAAAAAAAAAAAAAAAAAGTCACACAAAAACACAAATAAAAAATGTTGACAAAGTATCAAGCATTACCTTATAAAGAACACCATCATACGCTCTCACAAACCTGAAGATACGCGTTTATTAGACTGAGGTTTCTTGAAATCTATTAAAGTCGCTCGACACAAACGCTGCAACAGGAACAAAGCCATGACAATAGCGGGTGGACGACACTAGCAACTGCAACAATGGGGGGGGGGTTGGGTTTTGGGGCGTTTTCTTTTTTTTTTGTTGGGTTTTTTTTTTTTTTTGCATACCTTATTGTCTACAAAGCAATAAATATTTTTCACCAAAAAAGTTGGTTTCACGCTACATGCAGTTAGATAAAAAAGAAAGTCACCAAAGTGATGGCAAAATAAATCACCTGTCCGATTTGTTTTTCTTTTTTCTCTTCCCCCCCCCCATTTTTTGGGGGGATTTTTTTTTATGTGTTTTTTGTGTTGGTTTTTTTTTTTTAAATTCAAGCACAGTGGCTAAGTTTCAAGTATTGAGAGAAAACATATATATACACGTTTGTGTTTGTGTGTGCATCTATACACACACACACACACATCCTTGTATGTATATACACACACACATACATATACATCGGTCGTAGGTCTGTAAACCACAATTTTTTGGAGCAATATATACTTTGTGTACATTGAATGTGGACAATTTTGATACATTCAAGTAATGAAGTACAGCTGGAAGGTTAGTGCTGAGCTTGCCACACACACGGGTCGCTGGTGGGTGCCGCGGGCACCGGGCTGTGCTGCTCCTGCACAGAGCCAGCCCTGGCTCAGCGCCTGCGCCGCTGCACCGCTCCTGCCTGCAGCACAGCCCTTCGCAGAACCGGTAAAACCCTTTTGGAAGCAGTCGAGGTCTCCTCGGCATTTCTGGCCACAGGCTGAGGGGGGCTTGGTTGGTTGGTTTTGTCTTTTTTTGTTGTTGTTTTTTTCTTTTTTCTTCTTTTTTTCCCAGGCACAAGCGCAAACGGCCACAGAAGCAGCGGGCTGTGAACGTACGACGTAACAGCGGCCCAATACCGAAGCATTTGTGAAAGCTACACTTTAAAACTTCCCCGGGTGGGGCAATCTGAAATATTTTTTAATTTCTTTATTGGCATCTCTGCTCTGTGACCAGAAACACCCACGCTGCCAAAGATGATGCCAGCTCCAAATGAAGTTGCTCCTGAAACCCTTGTAAAGTATCACACTGAACGTGCCAATATTGAGAGAAAAAAAGCAATGAGGACTTAACCACCACGTGCAACGTATTTTTACATCCCCAAACCCAAAGCCTGAGGTCTCGAGTTGCTTTCAAAGATACTTTTCTGCCCAGCGCTAACAAAATACTGCCACGACTCTGATAAATTAGGACACACACATGCGCACGCAGACAGACGGACAGGCAGCCAGCTATTCTCTCACGCACATGCTCACGGCATCCGAAGCCTCAACCAGAACTCGAGCCACTCGCACCCACAGTCTCATTTGGCTAGAGTCTCCTTAAAAGAAATGCTCAACATAAAACTGAACACTACAAAATTTCTTTATAAAAAAAAAATTAAAATGAAGCAGCAAATAAAACGTCTTAAAAAAATGCATTTCCAATTGTAAGTGTGTAGGATCTTAATGCCTGTTCTTGAGCTCTTAAAAAGCACGGAGCTTTATACCGACTGTCCTTAAAAGAACGTTTAAATAAAAAAAAAACAAAAACAAAACAACCCAAACCAAAAGATATCGTGGTACTGCCAGACTGCAAGTCAGCTTTGCCTGGTGTGGAGGAGGAACAGGACAGACTCTGCAGTGCTTTTTGCCTCACACTCACAAGATACAGTACAGTTAAATACGTACAGTTACACACAAACCATATATATATATATATCAATATATATTCGCCCTTAGGAATACATATTAATATACGCACACACGTAGTGCAATAAAACAACCAGGAAGCAAGGAAAGGAATAAAAGGAACAGCATTCCTAACAGTCGTGATGTTCCTGGGTTGTTGTGTGATACAAAGTCAACTTCTCAAAGTTCCCCTGGTGTGTAAAGTGCTCCTTTGATTCACAAAGCTAGTGTTTTCAGTCGGGGGGCGAGGGCTCCGGGAGGGGGGGTATCGAGCCAACAGCTGGAAGCAGGACAGCGCGGGTGCTTCCTCCTGGTAGATATGTACGGACACGGCCCAGCCCAACAGCCAGGAGGCTTTCACGTTGATCCCGCTGAGCCTGGGGACCAAGGGAGGAACGGATCCATTTTGGCTTCTTACCAACACGGGAGCGTTACGCTTTCTGCCGCCCTCCTGTTCCCTGCGCGGAGCCTCCTTCCCCGTGCCGTTGGCCATCCAGGCAGGGAGGGAGGCAACCCACGCGGCAGCAGCGCCAAGTCAGTCGGAGGTGGGAGCTCAGGCAAAAGGGAGCCGACTCCCTCCCCTCCGCCATGCCGTAAGCACTCCGAGGCATAAACACGTATGGGAAGGGGCAAAGGAGAGTGAGGAGGGGGAGCCTCGGGTTGCCGGGAAGCTTGAAGATGCCTGGCTCTCAGCTGGGTAGGGAAAAGTACACAAACTGGCCTTGATTTCCAAATGACACCCTCCAACTTCAACTGAAGCCAGCAGTTTCAGCACATCCATTGCCTGCAATGGACACAGCCCTGGAATACCCTGTTCTTAAGCAAGAGGGATAGGCAGCAGTCTTATCCTTCAAAGTGCTGGGAGGAAGCAGACTTCTCTCCTTCATCCCCTCTGCCAACGAGGGAAACCTTTCCACATCGGCTACGTCTTCGCCCAGGCCTTTGGGCAGGGAAGTATTTGTGCTTGCTGCAGTCACACATCCCCACGAAGGAATCCGAGTCTGTGGAACAACTTCCCAAAACGTCAACGTACGAAACATTGAGCAGTTCGTCCTCCAGGTCTCCTACTGCCAAAATCATTTCCCACCACAGCAGCGGGCCGTTGGAAACGAAGTGATCAGCTGGGGAGAGGTGCGTGAAGAACAACCACACTGAAATCAGGCGCAGAACCCCGACAGCAGAGCTGACAGCCTGCGCTCGATGCACAGTTTACCTGGGAGAGAAAAAAAAAAACCAACAAAAGAAATTAACTTCTCGTTTTCCTGGCAATATAAAGACTACCAAACGTGATGGAGATTGAGGGGGGGAAGAAAGAAAAAGGCAGAACTTGAGCAAATCTGAGCAGCCGTTGGAGAATCGTTACCACATTTAGAGTAGGGGAGGACCTGCCCGCAAACACCATGCTGGGAAGGGTTGAATAATTGGAGATCTGACAACAAAAGCCAGGAGGCAGCAGGTCTGACAGAGGTATCAAGACGTTATAAAGAACCACCGTCCACCGGGAACAATTTATTTGCTTTTAGTTATTGGGGTGGCTGTTGCCAGCAGGCACAGTGACTCAAGGTCTGCAGTGCCACTTGTCACAGCTTACAACGGAGAGGCTGAGCCCAGCCCAGCACGGGCAGTGCCAGGTTCTCACTGCCTGAGCCCAAGACTCTCTCAAAAGCTAAACGCTTGGTGGAATTCATTCCTCTCGCAGGAAGACTTGCTGTATTTCTAGATTAATCATTTTACTGTTCAGAAATAAGTAATCATATACCCGAGATCTAAAATGAAATGCACACCCACTACAGCCTACCAGAGAACAGCTCAATCAGGAAGCTGGAACATGGGGTAAAACAGGGAATACCAGGATATCAACTGGGAAAAAAAAAAATCTATTAACTGTGTCTCTGGACAAAAGAGGTGATTTAGGTTTGGTAAGAAATGGTACAATAGAAACTACTTAGCATTCCCTATTCACCTCGCCCTCCGGTGCCGCACACCACCTGCCAGTCTCCCCTTGCTCTCCTCCAGCGAGCCTCGCGTCAACTGCGAATGTCGGTGATAATTAACTGACTGATTGCCTGCGAGCCAGCAATCTCTTCTCTCATTACCTATCCGAGAGCTCTGCCGGCACGGATGACTAGAGCAGCCTGGCAGCGCTCTGGACGCTGGCCCACGGAACGCGCTCGGTAGCCGGCAGAGGCATGGTTTGCCTGCTGTGCCCTTTCCCTTCAGCCGCCGGGGTCTCCTGCCCCTGGGCTGGCTTAGCGGCGATGGAGCAGAGCTGAGGCCAAGCCAAGCTGCTCCAACAGACGACAGCTATCCCCCATCCCCTCTGCCGGCCTCCCGCAGGGAGAGACCGCAGGGGTGAATAAACCGCAGCCGTAAGGGCAGGGGAAGTGCGCTCAGAGCAAGCAAGGTCAGTCCTTTCCACTCCACGTGCGTTAGCTGTGGAGCCGGCAGCAGCCCAGAATGACGTCCCTCACGCCAAAGGGAGAGCGAGAGCGGTGACAGCTCGGAGCAGCAGGCGGAGGGGTCCATCTGGTCCCTGGGAGAGGAAGCCAAACGATAGCAAGGAGGCAGGCGTTCAGCTTTCACTGCTACAATGAGCACTTGCTGATGAGAAAAATCTTTGTCTCTGCTGCCTTCTCAGGCCTGGGGTGGGGGAACCAGCCAGGCGAGCAGTCCTGGTTCAGAAGACGTGTCGGAAGGAGCCCTCGTTGTGCTGATCGGCCATCTCTGCCCGACAGCCACTGCAGTTTTGCATTCCCAAGCGCTTTGTACAATCAGAGGGATGGTTCCAGCTGGAAACCAAACCCAGGCCCCTGCTGTTGCCAAACCACTTCCTTCAGCAAGTTCTTTCACACATCAAAAGATCCAACAAAGCCCTGGCAATCACTCTGCATGGGAAGCTCTCAAAATATGGCTCAGAGCAGGGACCTGCATTTCTGACAGTTTTCCTACTGGGAAAGCAGGAGGCCAGGCTGTGAGGAGCTGTAACAAGCCAAGAGATCTCTGCTGTGTCCACCAAGATGTAGCCAAAGGAAAAAAGGATGCTGAGTACTGAAATTTCTGATCCATGCAGCTAGGAAAACACATGTTCTAGTGGGAGGGAAAAAAAAAGTCACTGAACACTCACATTTATTGATGTTTTCTATGTCCCCCTGTTCAGTGATGATGTTCAGGAGCCCCTCCATCAGCAGCAGAGCTTTGTGGTACCTCTGCGCGCAGTCCTCTCTGTGGTGGAACATCTCATCCAGGGCTGCAGACTGCACCTGCAGGCAACAACCCCGTGCCAAGAGGTTACTCCCAGACCAGACCTGGTTTTCCCAGCAAGGCCCCTCAGCTGCACAAAGACCTCCTGTACCCGGCTTCCAGAGGCTGTGCACAGCGTCATGAGTAAACCCATCTGCTAAGGCCACCAGCAGGAGCCCTCAATGCCCGACATGGGCTCTGTGCTAGCCCTGCTCCCAGGCACTGTATGGTTATTACCATTTGCACAGCATAGCTGAAGATGAGCTTCTCTGCGGTGATGCTGTTGATCCGATCCATGAGTTTCTGTTTGTCCAAGAAGAACCTCTGGAGTCTCATGTTGAGGCAGTGGCAGGATGATACACTGGATTTATAAAGCTCATTCAGCTTCTTCACAACTAGAGAGTAAAGGAAAGAAATGCTTTAGGCACTGCCTCCAGCTCTCCCTGTGCCTCCCAATCTCGATGCACAGGACCCCAAATGAGTAACTTCAAGACAATGGGGCTATGTTAAAGCCAAAAGACTGTCAGGAAAGTAGGTGCTGCACCAACAGGGTCTTTCTCCTTTCCTCTGTCACCTTCACCAGTTATAAGCCTGCCACGTGGCGCTGCCTACACGTATGCCCAGTTCACCTGAGGCCAGGTCTATTTTCGTTTCCTTCAGCTGCCACAAGGCAGAGAGCAGTTTGCACCACGCACGATGTCTCACGCACCACCAGAAGCAACAGACGTGCCTGGTACAAAGCTTCTGCTGCTTGATGGGTGATGACGTGCCGTGAAGTACGTGACTTGCACGTGGTAGCTGTTGGAGCTGAGGGTGGATGAGCAGCACTGACTAAGTGAGGGAGTCTCTCTTGGCATTCTGCTGTCCCAGAAAGAAAAGACACTGATGCCTGTGAAAGGCCACCTCCTTCCCTGAACCACAGCAGCTCATACGGGAAGGTTATGGGACAGAGAATCAGGAATCAAGTATGATTCTGAGAAATTAAATAATAATCCAAAACAGCAAGCGATGCCACAGGCTTGAGTCTCTCTTGAGCTAGCTGCATGGCATGATCTGCACCAAGTACTGAATACAAACTCCCACCATCTGGTGAGTACGAGCTGCTACGTGCACATTTGAAAATACCCACGCGGCACGATTTGCTCCTGGGGGAGGCAAATTAACCCATGCCATGAACCAGCTGCTCTCAGCTACGATGAGGAGGGGCAACCTCATGACAGCCAGGCCTTGTGACTAAATCTTGCCTTGCCAGGCAGGGGTAAGAGAGCAGAGAGCCGGAGAAGAGACTGCCTCCAGGAGGAAAGGCTGCTGTCACTCTCCATCTGAGAAAAGGACCGGGGCACAAAGCCACAACCCTGTCGGGGTCAGACTGTCAGATCACCCATGCTTAGAAGGAACTTGAGAGGGAGTGCGAACCCCAAAGCTTGTGGGTGACATCAGGAGGGCGAAATGAAAAACTCCATGGGAAGAGAGTCAGGAGAGACTATTTAGAAACCAAAACAACACACAAATACAGCAATATCCTCCTCCATGGAATTCAATCGGAGCTCTGAGCTGCACCCAAATTATCAGGAAAAAGAGGATGGCTGTGGGTAGGGACCCTGCCTGGCACACACTGCCCAAGGACACTCCAGGGCTGTGTCTTGTCGCGCTTCCCTGCTTTTTCCATACACATGGGACACAACTACCTCAAAAACTGTCTTGTCCTCACTGTGCCCTGGAAAACCTCAAGGGAGCAGTATTTTGTGGGGAGAGAAATAAGAGAAGACAGCCTTGCCCCATTCCCACACATGGAAGGGCAAATTACACTACGAATCTAGAAGTTGCAATCTGCCCTGAAAAGGAGTAATTTATTTGGGTTATGACAAGTTTCCTCTTGGCCTGAACTCGTGGAAGATGTGTGGCTAAACCTGTGTACCTTTCTCCATACGGCCTGCTACAGCGTATGTGTGCTCACTGTATTTAGCTTCTATTTCTTTACACCCCATCCCAAGGCAGCACGAGTACTTTCAAAGATTAAGCTCTTGGGGAAGGCGGCTGATGGGTCAAGTACTTCAAGTGCTTCAAAAAGCTCCCTCAGTTATATTACAATGGCAGTTTTAAAATTATTTTTTCTTATCACTGAATCACAGCCAGCTCACATCACAAGCCAGCCAGTCAGATGCAAATGTAAGGCTGTAACACCAGCAAAGAAGTGACTCTGGCATTACCAGTATTTCATTTCCTGTGTTTTTGTTTCACTTGAAAGATCAT